TAGATCCAACCTCCTTTTTTATCCCTACAGATAGTAGTGTAAGGATTCCTGTTTTGTAGAAAAACGTTGCTCACGATTCTGGGAGAGGAGTTCCCCAAAACATGATAAATGAAATAGAACAAATGCATCAAAACCAAGGCATTTAATAAAATAGGTCATATTTTTTTCTACTCTTAAAGATGTGCTAAAATGTGTAACTATACTTTGCTTAAAAGAGTGAAAGATCCTCCCTCTCCACAGCACAAACATGGCTTTTCAAAGCAATGACTCCCCCTAGGCAAACGTATTTGGGGGATTGGACTCATCAGTCCTGGCAAGCTCATCCTTCTTGACTTCTCTGTTAAAAGCACCAGAGGTGGAGTCCTTGGTGACAGTTTGGGCTGGTGCTGGGACATCTGTAATCCAAACGTGATTCTTTCCGATTGTCCCATAGCCGGCGGTAATGGTGAAGATGTTGCTTCTCTGGTATTTCCTGGCAAACATGCAACAAGTTTCTTTCATCCCCCTTCTGAAGTTTGCGTTGTAGATGTAGAAAAGGATTGGCTTCGAGGCTGAGGAACTGAAAGAGATCCAGGTGACAGCCAGGAAAACCAAGGAGCTCTTTCTGTAGTCTGTTTCCCGTGGGTGCCACAGCTGTACCACGTAGAAAGGGAGCCAGGACAGGAGGAAAACTAAGTTAAAGATGAAGAACATCTTGACATTTTTCACTTTTCTTCTTGAGATCAAATTCACTGTCCTCCTGCCAGCCGTGACTTCGGTGCCTTTTCTCCAAATGTAGGTGAAGAGTTTCTCGTAGCAGAGGATGGTGAAGAGGGAGGGGATCAAAAACAACAGCACTGGGAGGTGGACAATACTGGAGTTAAATCCTTGCGGAGAATCAGGCAGAAAAAAGTTGCAGTGGTGGTCACTGCCAGAGTCATAGAGAAAATAAGCTGGTGATGCAAAGAGAGCACCGCAGAGCCAAGAGGCCAGAATCATTATCTTGGCTTTCTCCCTGGACATTTTGAAGCTCAAGGGACGGACGAGAGTGTAGCATCGAGCCATGCCTATGGAGAAGAGCACGTAGAGCTGGACCCCCGGGGTGAGGTACTGGATGTACCTCACCAGCTTGCACATCCCGTTCCCCAGCATCCACCTGCCGTAGGTCAGCTGGAGCAGCAGGAAGGGCGCGCTCACAACACTGGTGAGCAGGTCTGCACAAGCCATGGAGACCACAAAGTAGTTGGGGGATTGTGTCTTCCTGCTCCTGGGCATCACTAAGCAAAGGAGGGAGTTTCCCAAGACAGAAACCAGCCACAGCACTCCCCAGACGATGCCGGCCGCTGCCATCTCCCCCGGCCTCAGTCCATAGTCCAAGAGAGTGTGGTTCCTGCTTGAGCCGGGTCCTGTGAGTGGAGATTCTGTCACCTCATAGCCAGCAGGAGGGATGGAGGATTCAGGGTTGCTCATGTTCTGCAGTAGGAGCAGTAAAGTGGGGAGAAGAAAAGGACCGCTGCTGTTATCCATGCTTTGCTCAGGCTGCAGAAAGAGAGGAGAGAACAAGTTCTCTTGAACAGCTCTGTGTGAAAAGCCCGCCTTAAACAATAAAAGATAACTCTCAGTAGTCTCCATACTCCCTGGAGTAGTAGATTTCAGCTGGTATAGCAAAGGGCATTAAGTTCCTTGCAGGTTTTTAGGAATGGCCTGAGTATTTCAGACCAGCATTTCTCTTCTCAGAAAGGTGAATGTCCCTTTCACAGCTGGAGACCGAGGTGCCATTTCACCAGAGCTGGGATATATCCCATTGATCCCAGAAATGAGCTGTACTTCACAGTGTTCATGGAATTATCAGAGAAGCAGACCAAGAGGGTCCCTGTACCCTTGACTTTACCTACGCTGGTCAAGGAGATAGGCAAATGAGGTGTTTCTAATAGCAAGAGATGGAATGGGAAGTCACTTTTTCCACAATAACAACATCTTTATTGATAAGGATACCAGCAGACAAACTATGCTCCCATTCAGTTATTAGTAACACGGCTGTTAATATCCCTCAGTTAATATTCTCAAATCTGTTTGTTTCTGGTCATATTTTGGAAGGGAGGCGAGGTCTGGATTGCAAGGCAAAGGAAAGATCATCCAAGCAGAAGGAAGGACTGGCACCAATCTGGAAGGGCACTCCTCACCGTGAATCCCCTGCAGCCCTTCCCCGGGGAGGAACTTTTCTTCAGGAGCTGGACATTGCATACCTTGAAGAGTCTGTTCTGGACAGCAGTGCTGACCCTTCCCAGGTCACCCTGTCGAGCAGAACCTGCCTTAAGGTCCTGCAGGTCTGTAGGTGAGCCAAGGGACAACTGAAGGACTGCCAGGAGCAACCGGCACCAACAGACAACACGGAACCCCTGCCCGCAGTTAAGTCACAAAGAGCTCGACACGCTCAGAATCCTTCTGACCCAAGCACAGGACCCGGCACTTGGCCTTGTTGAACCTCATCCCGTTGGCCTTGGACCATCTAGGCAGAGCCTTCCTACCCTCCAGCAGATCAACAACGCCTCCATAAACTGGTGTCAACTATGCAAATTGCCTGAGGAGGCACTCAGTGCCCTCGGCCCTGGTGGTTGATAAGAATTTGGGACAGGACTGGCCTTGCCCAGCTCTGGGAAGGGACAATCACCTTTGGGGAGTCACTTTTTCCATGATAATAAAATCTTCATGGATAAGGACACTAGCAGCCAAACCCTGCTTCCATCCAATCCTTAGTAAAATGGGTGTTATGAACTGGTTCACACTTGAAGAACTCCATAATTTTTAAACTAATTGTCTTGCCCTCCACCCCACATGCTCAGACCATTTAGGAAACAGAGTTTGCAGTTTGATTCCCCTTCCTCCCCCTGCTGATTTAGCCCAAGGCAAGAAGATGGCAAGTTCTTCTTTCTAAGCATGTCTGAAATCAAATGCAGTGGAAGATTGGGAAAGGCCTGGTAGGCAAGATTGGAGAGGCTCTCTTAAAGAAATTCCTTTACAAATCAGCACTAACTTTTGCCATAAAGGTGCCTTGAAATTTCTAGCTGTGGGAACTGATTCCTGAAATCACTGTTTTGTATTGAGCTGGCAGGCCTCCAGGCACCAGTGTGTATACAATAAAACAGCAGCCTTCTCAGCACAGAATCATGGTATATTTGGGGTTGGAAGGGAGGTCAGGAGATTTCCAGCTTTGAGCCAATCTTCAGAGCAGCAGCAGGAGCAGCGAAGTCAGTGATAGTTGTATTCTTACTGTGTCAGTACAGAAGTTAAAATACCACAACACCGCATGCTCATAGCATCTGTATGACATCTAATCGTGGCAACTTTGAACAGCTTACAAGATGAATTTACAACAGCAGGGGGTGAGTGTATGTGACATTCCTGCTCTCTAAACCATGTAGGATATTACTAGATATAAATGTCTCCCATGAACTGTGGCCATCAAGACGAGATGTTGGACTCTGAATTGGCTGTGGTGCAGTGGAGAAGAAAATTCAATTAATAATTTATCACTAAAAAGCCCAGTTCAAAAGCAGGAGGAAAAAGCAAACAGAGCAGGTAGTCAATTTACCAGTAAGGGAAAACATTCAGTAACTCAATATTCCTTGCCCCATCAATTCCACATGATGTCTGGCAATGTTTTGATTTCCTAGACATAAACAAATCATTGTAGTCTTTTCTGCTTGCATGTTTTTCCTGGAATATTTTTCTCCCTCTTACATTTCCTGTCCTTCTGGAAGATATACTAGTTTATTTTACATTAAACAAACAAGCAAACAAACAAAAAATAAAATTGTGCATGTGTTTTTAGACTAGACTTGGAAATCTGTGTAGTTTATTGGGACCATTTGTGCTACCAACAGTTTTGTTTCCCTATCAAGACTTATTTTGTGGCTAAAACATCAGGATAGCTGAAATGAGCTTTCCCTCTAGAGCACGTGTAAGTGATCTCACGCTATGTTCCAGAGAAAACTCTTAACGTACCTGATGATATTTCACTTCATTTTTATCGAGTTCCAAAGACCAGGCTCTGAGCAGTATCCATTTCTTGAATACAGGAATTTCTACGCTGCTATTTAGATTACTTTTAATCTGAAGCTTTTTCAGTATGAAAGAAATTTGAGTCAAAAACTTGAGTCCTTTTTTCAGCTTATTTGCTGTACAGTCCATAGTCATTCAGATGAGGTTTTTAGCATGTTTCAGATGTAGTATAGCATGAATTAATTTAGTCTGCAACAAAAAAAGGGGAGGTGAAGGATCCTGTGGGAAGAAGTGAATGGGAAGGAGGTGGTTCTGGTTGAAGAGCAGTAGGGGAGATTAATGTCATCAAACTCTCAGCAGAAGGTTTTGATTACTATTTTCAGAAATACATTCTATTTGCAGGACTGTGCCTTATCCCAACAAATTTTACTGGTGATGCTGCTTTAATTTACAGCTACACTGACTTTAACCCTTCTTCTTAAGAGGTTGCCTAGATCTCCATTCTGAAATAAACATCGCTGTGTATTTCTGACCCTTTTTTTTCTGAAATCTACTACTCTAGGGAGTATGGAGACTGCTGAGAGTTATCTTTTACTGGTTAGGGCAGGCTTTTCACACAGAGCTGTTCTGAACTGCATCTCATGGCTGTTTTCACCAGTCCTCCTCCTTTCAGATCTGAGTGAGGGGAAACAAACAAACAAAAGCAAAATAACTTGGGAGACTGAGGGGGAGCCCCTTTTAGGAAAAGGTTCATTCCCCCAGGGGATGGTTGGGCAGTGTTCAGAGCAGCGAGCCCGACAGAGCTCGGGGAGTGTTTGCACGACGCTTTCAGACACACATATTCGAGATTGCTGGGGTGTCCTGAGCAGGACCAGGAGCGCCTCCGGAGCACAGATATTCTGTCTCCGGAGCACCAGGCTCCTCCCCAAAGGCAGGGCCAGTCTCACCGGGGCCCGTCTCGGCTCCGCTCCGTGCGGGCGGAGCTTTCCCGGGCCGGGCGGGGCTGCGGGGAGGCCGCGATGGCGGCGCCGGCCGCGCTGTTGTGCAGGGCCGGGTTATGGTGCGGGGCCGGGCTGTGCTACGGAGCTGGTTTGTGCTGCCGGCCCGGGCTGTGCTGCCGGGCCAGGCTGTGCTGTGGGGCCGCCAGGGCGCTCCCATCCGCCCCTCGCTGTGGCCGCGCCGCCTCCTCGTCGGCAGCCGCGGTGAGCGGCAGGGAAGGGCCGCAGCCCCGGGAAGGTGAGCGCGGCCGGGCCCGGGGGCTGCGGGCGGAGCGGTGCCCCGGGTTCGGTCATCCCCGAAGGGAATGTCGTGGGTTTGCCGGGCGCTGCGTGCTCCTGCGAGACCGCGCCTGGTCTCTGGAAGAGCTTTCAGGTGTTGAAGGGGTCCCGAGGTGAAATTAGGGAGGTTTGTAGCGGGAGCGGCGCGGGGCTGCGCCTGAAAGCACCGCGAGGGAGGCGGGTCGGGCGATAAAGGAGCGCTATAGCTGTAGAACCTGCGGATGTATCTTTCAGTTTACATTTTTTATATATCAAGAAGAGCATGAGCGGAATTGGGTGCGTAAAGTACTCGGATAAGGAAAAGGAAATAACAGTGAAATTCACAAGGTTTCGCGAAGTGGGGTTTTAAGACATATTAATGAGTGAAGAACCCAAACGTCCACTCCTAAATACCTTTTTTTCTTTTCTTTTTTTTTTTTTTTCCTAAATATATATATATAAAAAATTAAAACTCAGAGCTCAAACCAGTCACTTGAAAATCAATGGCACCGGATTCACCTTTGTTTATCTGAGGCTACATTAACCAGTGTTGATTTTTGGAGGGTGGAATTTGAAGTGTTTTAGAGTTTGAGGAGGGGGAGGAAACGGAGCGAAGCAAGAGCTCTGTTTAGTTTAAAAATCCGGTGGTATTTGGTATCTTGGTGCATCCCTGGCAGTCCCTCACCACAGCTCCAAGTGATACCCGGCTATAAAGGAGAGTCAGAGAGTGGCTCAGGCCTGAAAGGAGTTAAACTCTCACAGGATTGCTCAGTAAACTGGATTGACCTGATCCCCATCCCCAGCTCAAAAAGAGAATGCAATGTGCAAACTGTTCCTGCAGAGCTGGAGGGTGGCACAGAAGAGGGTGTAAAGCAGAAGGAAGGGATGGAGGCAAACGATTCTTCTTTTGGAAACAGTAGCTCTGAAGTTTATCCATCTTGTGCTGTTGTGGGAGGGTGATTTGTGACTGAACAGCCACATGGGAAAGAGGGAGCACGGGGATGAAGGTGAAAGTTTACTCTCACTCGTTTCCTCGAAGTTCTTTTTTATCTAATGTTTCAAAAAATAAATGAGCAATCTGAAGCCTGAATACCTTGTCTTCCCCTTCTTCCATGTAAAGATTGGGGAGTATTAATGAATCTCGGTACAAACACAAAAAAAAGCATAGAAGATTATGCTGCAACCCCCCCTCAAAAAAAACCAAACAAACAAACTATATAACAATTTGTATTTTAAATGGCTGTAATGTTTGGTTTTTTTTTTTTTCTTTTAGCTTCAGTAAGGAGAAGAGGCAGGACACCACAGTTTGTAAGTACTGAAACGATTTGCAGCTGACTCAGGTGTCTGAGGCAGTTTTTTGAGCTGTGTGTGATAACAGAAACCCCTTCTGCAGTCAAACCCTGTGAGTGTTCCAGGCCAGCACCTGCCTTCTATGCTCTCCCAGCTCTTTTCAGTCTGTGCCTTCATAAAACCAAAACATAACAGTAAGCTAATAGTTAACTTGCATGGACGCCATGTACTGCAGGTCTGAAAAGTAACTTAAAGTTGCATTTTCGCTAAACCAGACCTTTTAATGTTATTTTCAGTCTGAGTTTACAGGATCTGTGGTGGTTTCTTTCTGGTGTAAATAAAAAAAATGTGATCTTGTGCTTCAATGAAATTGTACTTACTCAGTGGATTAAAAACTGATATCTGGACATTCAGTAACTGGGAATTTCTTGTTGGCATCCACAGGTACATGTCAAAAGTTGTATAGTACAGGTTATGATGTTCTAAAGGCAAATAGTGAAGCAGACCTGGGATACATTAAATTTTTGTTTGACTTCTAAGAGTAGATTTTACAATACACCAAAGCAGTTAGACCAGTTGACTGCATATATCCATTTCCTTCTTACCTCCTCTAAATGAAAAATTAAAGTTTTGGGGGAAAAAAACAGTGACTTATTTGTTTGCTAGGGTTTTTTTTTAAGAGCACCTGACTGAAACTGTGGTCAGTTATTGGAGGATATAAGCTCTTTCTGCAATATACTAATACACTGCTCCTGTGCTGGAATTTCTGTAGCAAGAAATGCCAGTTAAAATCTGTTTGTTTTGTTATGAACTGGTTCACACTTTTAGAATCCCAGTATTTCAAAACTCATTGTCCTGGCCCCCATTACAGGCTCAGGCCCTGTAGGAAACAGAGACTGCAGTTCCACACTGATTGGATTCCCCAGATTTATGATCCTGCTTTGTTTTACAAACAGTGTGTCTCACACCCAGCTCGTATCCATTTCCACCCTTTAGGCTGCAAGTCCCAGAGCAGACAGGATGGCTGTGGATCAGGACTGGAGCAGTGTTTACCCAACAGCAGCTGCCTTCAAACCTGCCTCTGTGCCCCTCCCAATCCGAATGGGCTACCCAGTGAAGAGGGGAGTGCCTCCCCCAAAAGAGGGCAACTTAGAACTTATCAAGGTGAGACACATCCCGTGGGTGGGTGAGTGGGTGGTCATTTAAATGTTAGTGTTCACTAAAGCTGCACTGCTTTGGTTGGAGTGTTTGTGTTGGAGACTGTTTTCTGGTGTTAAATAGGATGATCCTCTTTAGTTTCTAAACGAAATGGTAACAAAGTGAAATGACAAATGAATGAAATCTGGAGGCTTTTTTTTAGGGTGATCATGCCTGTGATTTTTGTACTGGGGCTAACCGAAGTCTGTTCCTAAATCAGACTGGAATACTTATCTGAATATCTTACCCAGCGTGTTGTGTTACCTTAACAAATGTGAGAACTGTAATCAGATTTCAGTCATGTCCATTTACTTAGGAGCAGACAAAAAGCCATTATTGTGGTAACTCTTAATGTGTCTGTTTCAGATTCCCAATTTTTTGCATCTTACTCCTCCTGCAATTAAGAAGCACTGTGCAGCTCTTAAAGGTGAGAATGTAAATGTGTGTGATGGAGCAGAAGGTGAGACATGGTACACTTGTGAAGCTGGTTATTTGTCAGGCTTTGGCTAGTACTTGTCTGCTTTATTGCTGCTGCCTGCAGTTATCCAGGTGGTTGGCAGATGTGTCTTAGGAGGTTTTCAGCACCCCAGTAAGACTGAAATTTTAATTTTCAGTGAGGCCCTGCTTAGGCTGATGAGTTGATAGTTTAGCTTGCCCAGAGAAGCTGTGGATGCCCAGTCCTTGAAGGTGTTCAGGGTCAGGTTGGACCAGCTTTGAGCAGCCAAATGTAGTGAAAAATGTCCCTGCCCATGGCAGGGGGTTGGACTCTTTCTAATCTTTGAGGGTCAATTCCAACCCAAACCATTCTGTGATTGTTTGGCATCTGGAGTACTGTGTCCTGGGTTTTGGGGAACCCGGTATACAAAAACAATTAAACCCAGTAAAAAGATAGATTGCAGTAAATCTGGAGAAAAAAAAAAAAACAACACAAGCAACAGCCAAATACACCAAACAGGTATTACATGTAGTGTTTTCTCTTCCTTACACAGATTTCTGCACTGAATGGCCAAGTGCTCTGGACAGTGATGAGAAATGTGAACAGCATTTTCCTATTGAAACCGAAACCGTAGATTATGTTTCTTCAGGGACGTCTATTCGCAATCCCAAAGCAAGAGTGGTGACTTTAAGAGTAAGTAGTAATTTTGGTAAACTGCCTTTGTCTCAAAAGCCTAAGTACTTGTGTTTCTCTTTTCAAAACGTGCAAGCATGATCTGCTATCAGGAAAGGAGGGAAATGGTTTCCTCAACGTCAGAATAAATAAAAAGCAGTGGATTTCCTCAAGTATTTTTGCAGAGTGTTAGAACTGAGGTTGTCAGGTTATGGGTATGTATTTAATTTAGTGTACCTTCTGAAGAATGTCCTTGTAGAAAAGGTTCTCCATGTCTTGCTTAGATCTTCTCATTGCTAATTTTTTGACCCTGGAACTGCACAGGTTTTGGAAGATGAATGTGGCACCATTTACAAATGTTAAGCTGGCAGACCTCCAGGCACCAGTGTGTATGTAGTAGGCACAGCAGCCTTCTCAGCATAGGATCATGACATATTTGAGGCTGGAAGGGAGCTCAGGAGATTTAGGCATTATGTGGGTGTTTATTATGCATGTATATATTGTTTGAATATCCACATTATTCTTGCCTTGTGTTAAGACTTCTGATGTGACACAAATAGAAGAAATTCTGCAAGTGCATCCTGAGTAGTTATCCTTGTCATTCCTAATAGAAGGTGTGCCACACTGTCTCAGGCATTTCCAAGGTGCAGAGACTGGATTTACCCAAGGAATTAAAGTTGCTTTCTCTTGTACTTGAAGGTTAAACTTTCTAACCTGAATTTGGATGACCATGCAAAGAAGAAGCTTGTTAAACTCGTGGGAGAGCGGTACTGCCAGGAGACAGATGTGCTCACAATTGTCACAGACAGGTACAGTTACAAGAAGGAAATGAAAATGTTTGTACCAATGGTCACTGTATAGAGAGGGCTGGGTGTCTTTCAGTAATACCAGCTATTGTCTTGGGGAATTTTTATATTTTTAGGGCTAAAACAGCACTTAAACTTAAGACTGCTCCTGCTTCTAACTGTTAAAATCAGGATTTTAAAGGAGTTCAGACTTACGTGTGTTGGATTCCGCTTTGGCACAGAGGGCAAAGAAGTTTTTAATGTTTTCTGAAGACTTGTAAATTCTTGGATTTTGTAGATTTTCCTCCTGAGTTTCAGTTTCCCTTTCTCCCATGTTCTTGATACTCACACCTCCAAGATGTTATTCTTGGGTGGGTGTAATTCAGAAGTGCATGTGAATCAATCACACGTTTCCCTGAGATTCCACAAATTAGGAGCTTTGATGGTGATTTTTAACGTCTTGTTCCAAAAGATGAGCTTTGTTCCTGGATTTGCAGGTGTCCCCTAAGAAGACAGAACTATGATTATGGCATGCACCTGCTCACGGTCCTGTACCACGAATCCTGGGTAAGCAGTTTTGAGCAGCTCGTGCTGTCTAATGTGCACGTGCTCTCTGTCACAACTTAAACTAAATTATCTTGAAGTTCTTTCCCTCTGGCACCTCACTTTTCCTCAAATTCAACCAAGGTAAGCTGCCTGTGTTTGATCTTAATTCCAGAGTCAGCTTGAGTGCATTTCTCTGACTTCACAAGTGCTATTCTGTTGTTTGTAAACAGTTTGTCTCTTTTAAGAAGTTCACTTCGTTTTGACCTTAATAAGAGGTTCTTTCCCAGTGCTTTGCTCCTCTGGGCCAGGAGCCTAAAATTGACCCTGAACCTGCCAGAAAACACCTTAATTTTCAGGATTGCTAAATGTACCTTTAATGTGGCATCATACCAGGCTGCCTGTGCACAGTATTAAAATATGAATTTAGTGCCCCCAGAGAAATGGTGTGCTCTGTGATTATCTCCTCTTACCTGTGCACTTTTAACAGTGACCGTGTTTAAAGACAAAACCAAGTCTATTCCAAAAAAACAGAGGGGTGTCTTACTGGCTTTAAAGCTGTGAAAACTGAGAACACAATATCTGCAGTTTGCCTAATTCCACACTGGGATCTGTTGCTTAGAATATGTCTTTTCTAGGGCTTTTCCTCAGCTAAAGTAAACAGTGGCTGTGATTTGGAAATGTTCTGTTTCTTAAATGCTCCCTCACATACCTTGCCTTGAGCTGACTGCTCTTCTGAGCTCCCTCCTGCTCAGCAAAGGGACCTCCCCTGCACCTGCTGCTAGTTTTAGCATTTCATTGTGTCAATGTTAGTGTCCTGAAAAATACAAAAAAGGTTTTGTAACTCTTTAGATAAAGCAAGAAATGTAATGTAAAATTTTCCATCATTGTTCATGATATGGCATATTTGGAATTTTTCCTTGTAGCTTATTTTGTTAAGTGTGCCTTTACATGTCAGATATCCAGTGCAAATGTATGAAGGGTATTATTCCAATATATTATGAATTTACTACAAATTTTAAGTAGGCCTCTAGGTATAGTAAGATATCTTTAGACCACAGATCTTCCTTGCACAGTGAACTCTTCGGACCTGTCCCTTGTATTTTTGTGGTCAATTGTAATTAAATCAATTGTGAAAGATAACATTGACTCTAGATTTCAAGGTACACGTGGATGCTCCTCTCCCCAGCAGCATTACACTGCATTACAAATCTTAAATTAATGACAGATCAGTATTGCAGTGACGAGGGAGTTGGACACTGCTCACTTTATTAATTTCAGACGAAGAGCAGGTCTGTGCTGTGCTCTGGCATTAATTAGTGATGGCAGACAGGGCTATGTGATACTGCTACGTGAGTGTTCGGTGTGTGTTGAATATGCACAAGTCTCCTGCCCCTTTATTACCTTCCAACCTCCGTGTTAATGTTTGATGAGTTTGTCAATCAGTTGTAATTGTCTTTGATTTCCATGAAAAATTAATGGTTTTCCCCAGACATGTTTTTTTTTTATTTATTTATTTTGTGTGACATGTTTTGCTTTGTGGTGTGTTTTCTTTTTTTTTTCCTCCATGATCAGTGGTAATGCCTTTTAGTGACTTGCTGAAAAGAAGTTTTGTAAACTGTAAGCGAACAATGTGTGGTTTAAAACAGTCAGATTTTAAAACTTAACAATGATCATTTATTTTCTCACTCTAAAATACTTGGAGATCTTTTGCTTCCTATTTAATAGTTTTCAGGTTAATAATGAAATATTTGTGTTTTATTGGCTTTCAGAATATATTAATTAGATAGCTGGTTTGTGCACCAGGTGGTAAGAATTGATCTTATCCTCTTAGGGACTTCTTTTGTGATTCTTTTCAAATCATCCCCAAGGCTGGTGCCTGGATTGAATGAATCAAGGGTCAGATACATTAGGTAGAATATTAAACAGCAGCTTAACCAGTTGTATTGCTGCTGTCTTTTAAATGATGCCTTTCTTGAATGCTGTAACATCACTGGAAACCTGGATGTATTTTCGTGGTAATCAAGTGGTTTTTAGAGAGTAAGAGTTTGCTGCCCTCGAGTGGTTAAAAGGATCATGGACTGATTTCTTCACACTCAGCGTGGATTAACAGTTTATCACCCAAAAGTCCAGTTCTGTTACGAATTGAAAGCAGGAAGGAGAAGCAAATGGAGCAGGAAATCAATTTTCCAGTAAGGAAGAACATTCAGAGTCGTTCAGGTTTTTTTGCTCCAATTCCACGTGATGTTTCCATCTACACGAACGCAGGAGGATGGAGAGTGGAGGATCTCAATTCTGCATTACAGATCTGGGATCTTGAGAGAGTAATAAATAGTTGCCCATGGATTTTCTGTTCTTCAGTACTTCTTAAAGTACAAAGTCTAATCTGACATATTAGCAGGAGATATTTAGTAGATAGTTAATGCTGCACACACTTTGGAACTTGGTTTCTCGAGTAGGAGGAAGGAAAGTTTTTCTGCCAGGAAATGTGTATTGCAGTGGAACAAGGTTACACTTTTTTTTGTACCTCTTGTACCAAAATTAATTGAATTAAAAATTGTGTTTGTACTTTTTCAGACCATAGTAAGCTTTTTGCTTAAGGAAGTTTAAGTAAGTTTAAGCTCCTTAAGTTGCTGGGGAAAAAAGGCTTCTTTTTGATACATAAATGTAATTGTTGCAGCTGTTTAGTTTTCAGTCTAGTGAAATGGAATCTCGTGAGAAAAATATATTTTGCCTCTCTACCGGTTTCTGTTGACACTTCTTTGTAAGTTGTTAACTAAGTAGTACAAATCAAAGGTGTATTATACCCAAAGAGCCTGTTATTGTTTTGGCAGTTCCTTTTAGGATTAAAGGTACCCAATCTTTTGGAAAATATTAGCATAGCTGTCATTTATTACCTGAAAATCTGAGATTATTGTACCACACAGAGTATCTTTTATTTCAGTGCAGTACTAAGAAACAGGTGTATTTATTCCAGGCCATACAGAGTTTGAAATTTGACTTGGAATTCAAGAACTTTTCTTCCCCTCAAAAAAAAAAAAAACAACCCAAAAATCCCACTAAAGTAATTGGTCTTTTTTTTTAATTTGGTTTTGGTTTTGTTCTTATTGTAAGCTTTAGTAAGAGAGACAAAGGTTGAAATTATCAGCTGAGTGCATGTTCAGCCAGACTGGGTAGTACTGAGATTCTGTCTTATGTGTGACAGAATGAGGCAATCATATTTAGTGAATTTATTGAAGAAATATATAGCCTTGATTTTTAGCCTTGTTCTCCAAGTGGGGGTTCTAGAAAAATGTTACAAATACACTTGTATTCCAGTTCTCACAGTTTTATTCTAATTTTTAAGACTTTTACTGCAGTGTTCACTAACATTTTAAATTTGCAGGGGACAAAAATAATCAACTAACTAAATTTGGGGTGATAGAATCCTAATTTTGAAGTTTCATTCATAACACTTTAAACAAGACTACATAACTTATAACATTCCCACTGTTCAGAGTTCATGGATACCCAGAGTATATACCTTGTCTACCTAGGGTATGCTTTCAACTGCATGTATAAATCTAGATTCACTTTCCTGCTGCTGTAAATTGTGTTGAAAAGGCATTTATTTAAGTTTCACTTGATTCAGTTAGTTTGCAAGAACCCGATTCCTGCTCAGTTTCCTGCTGGTGATGTATGTCTGGGCTGGATATCTGGAGGATAACTTTTCATTTTGAGGCATGGCCACCAACAGTGCAGTGATGGATACTGGCTTCTTGTAGCAGAGATGAAGGAATGGATTTGGAAATCTCCCCCTGCTGTCAAATCCCTTCCTGCTTTCCCCCTCACCATGGAGTCAGATTTTGCTTTAAAATCCATTTTGACAAATCATTCTGCTGGGAAGGAGTCCAAGAAAGAAATACTTTACAGTTTCTTTAAAATCTCCTTTAAAATCTTGCTCTGTGTTGCTGAAAAGAGGTGGGGAAAGCTTAATCTGTTTTATCAGCCAGCATCTCCAAAATCCTCTGAGTTAATATGTGCAGAGCAGGATTGTCCTGAAGAGATAAATGTAATAACTGCAATTAGTTCTTGTTGTCTCTGCTATAACTTAGGGGTGTTTAAAAGCCTCACAGTGGTCTTTTGTTTAAACTTCAAACGTGAGTTTAGGAGTGGCCAGAGGTGATACCCATATTCCCTTACTCCTGAGAAACCCTATCCCTGTGAGAAAGGCTTCTGCTTTAAAATTCTGCCTGAGCTTTGGGGGGGAAAAATGTCTCAGTCATTATGCAGGTAAACAAGGGATATGTAAACCAGGATGATGTTATTAATTAAAAAGGATGTCAGTTTAAATGAACCTTTTAACCGTGCTGTTCACTGCTTCTGACTAAACATTTGGACTCAGGGATTTAACAGACAAGAGATTCCACTTACCAGGTGCAAGATGCAGCATTTGGTAAAGTATTTTCAGTTCAGATAGACAGATCCAAGCACTCAGGGTTGTAGTGGAAAAAAAAAGAAGTCTTGGGTCTTAATGAAAGGTTATTAATTACTGTGGTTTGACTGCAGCAGCCTTGACAATTAGAGGACAGAATGCTTTAAAATAAATGAAAAATCCATACCAACACCCCATCCCCCCCCCCCCAAACCCCCAGAACTCAAAACCAAATGCAAACAACAAAGGAAAAAAACTCTCTGCAGTTGCAAGGGTTTTTTCTTGATTCTGCATAGCATAGTTAAAAATTTTCTGAAGAGCCCTTTCTGCAAGAGTTTTTAAAAAGACAAAAATACATATGATGTAAATGCTTTACTATAAGGTTTTTTTGAACTTATTTCCAGAAAAATGCAAGTTTTATTTAGACATGATTTTATAATAATTCTAAGAAAAACACTAAAAATAAACTCAAAATACTTCAAATTGTGATCCTTGAAATGATATAAGGATACTATGTGTTGTTTACATCAGTAAAGTACTAAATAGTTAAAAAAAAATAAATAAGCATATATAAAAATACAGATCTACCTCTGAAGCATGTCTCCCTTCATGTCTTACAGCCAGTGTAGACGTACCAAAATCATATGCTAGGGGCATAATAACTAATAATAACTAATAATAACTGCCTCCAAATCATGAGCATTGAGGGTCATTTAAAATCATTATTTTTACAAGGTTATTTGTTATTCACTGTGTGTAGTCCACAAGCTTTTCTTCCCACTCTGACTCGCCCAGTTACACCTGCCAGATCCATAAAGAACTTGCTAAAGTGGGAGGAAAGAAACTCATCCTGCTCGTACAGGCTCGAGTTACAAGCCCGGCACCTTGGAGGAGGAAATAAGGAAATACCTTCCCCAGTGAATGTCATTTGTGAAGTCAACTGATACGAGAGAGAGAAATTTCCTGGAATTATTGTAGCTTTGTTTCAGCCTCGAGTAGTTTTTAAACACAGTGTGTATTTTCTTTCAGAAAACCGAGAAGTGGGAGAGTGAGAAGTCTGAGGAGGACATGGAGGAGTATATCTGGGAAAACAGTCGCTCTCAGAAAAACGCCCTGGATACTCTGCTTCAAATAAAAGCCTCAGAGAGAGTCAGTAATGTCTCCGAGGAAGAGCTGCTTGCATCTGAAGTGGTTAAGAATTACAAAAACTCTGTAGTTGCACTGAAAAATGAGGGTGAAACAGAAAGTAACATGTCTCAGTATAAGGAATCCGTGAAGAAGCTGTTGAACATACAAGCGTGAGAGCAGGCTCTGCAGGTACACCTGGTCATTACAGAAATATTAAGCTACTATTAATATTCCTTAATTATATGGATATATAATTATTCAGAACCTTAAGCAAAAACGTGAGACTTGATGATGATAATCACAGGAGTAATCAGTTTTTTCTTTACTGCTTAATTTTCTGTAAACATGGTCGTCCTGTCCATGAATCTTGTTCTTTGAATAAAGTATGTTTGGATTCGTATTGGTAACTTTGGACATTTTATTCTGTGTTTTCTTAGCATGGGAGGTCCTGGTTCAGTCCCCTGCTTAATCACACTTCGATTTCTCACACAGCTTTTTTAGGCATATAACTTAGAGCAACTAATTAATCAAAACTAATTAAATTACTTAAGCTCCCAGATCCATTAATTAAAAGTCTGAAAGTTAAGAACTCTAAACTTTCTAAGTGCTTTTCAAATGTCACTCAGATTTCTCTCTACCTTTACTCCCTATCTGTAAAATAATGTGCCCAAGTAGTTAGAACTTCTGGAGAGGTGTTGAAGCCCCTGGGAGAGTGTGGGGTACTCAGTTGTCACCATGAGGGCTAACAAATACCCTAAGGAAAAATACCTGTGTCTAAAATGATGGAATTCAATGAGGTAGAAAGTGGGATGGTGGTGGGAAGGTGAACTAGCAGTTATTGAGAAGATCCAAAGAAATGGGAAAGAAGAAATGATGAGAGTTGCTGAAAGTGAGAGCTGGTGAGTAGTGAGGTGAGTATGAAGCTAAATAGGAGTGAACTCAAGTCTTGGTGCCCTGAGGCCTGCTGAGTTCTCTCTTGAATCCACCCAGGCTTTTCAAGGTAAAAAAAATTGTTTTTAGCATCCAGCTTACTGCAATGCAGCACAGAGAGAGAAATTATATGGATGTTCAGCTTATATTTGATAATTGGTATTTGAAAGGTTTTGATTTGAAACACTGGAATCACGAACAACTTTTATTGCCTTCTCACAGTAAAAAAAAAAAAAAACCAAACCCAAACCCAAAAACCCTACTTAAAAATAGCAGCTTTTAGGACATAAAGTAACTCTTGCTTTTATTGTACCTTCCTGGCTCACTAAGATTTCAGCTTAGAAAGTCATTCTTTCTGGGGGCAGAGGGAGTTAAGGATTCTGCATGCCTGTGAAAGAACCAAACACGTGGCCCTGCCACCAGCTCCTCGCTGAGAGAAAACAGTGTAAGGATAAGGACATAGAGAAGTGAAGGGAGTTGATTCCTGCAGTGTTCCCTGTGGCTTGACTGGCTCCCTGCTAGGATTGCTCATTGTCTGTTTTGTGTTTACACGCAGCCACAGACTGCATGTGCTCCCACTTCCAAAACACTCACTTTGGGAAGGATTCTTAGGTCAAGGTTGTTTTCATATGGTAGGAGACTTTTTTTCTGCCTACAAGAATTTGCCAGAGCTGTACCTGGGACTGGAAAGGCTTGTCCTGTAATCCCAATTTTGCACTTACTTAGTTATTTAGTGGTCCTTCCTTTTAGATTTGTATTAATGTGAAGCTTTAGCAGAAGGGGGAAATATGGGGGAAATTTCAGCTGTTACCAGGTTGTTCCTTTGTTCAGGGATAATGAGGGCAATGTTTAAAATTCTGGTTTGAAATAGTGCATCTGTGTGATTCCCAATCTTTTTCGAACAGAGCCCTGAAACTAAAATTACTGAGGAAGTAACTGCACTTTGACTCAGAGAGTGGTGTGGGTGGTGCCTGGAGTTGTGCCTGGCTCTATTCCAAAGGCAGTTTTGTTCTAGTATGTACACAAGGGAAATTTGCTTCCTTAATTAGCTTTGCCAGTGCTTGCAGAAGGACTGGCACATGAGCAAGTTTGTGTGGAGCAACTTCTGTTTTGCAGGGGCATGTCTTGTACAGGATTGTCAAGAGTAATGCCCTGAAGTGTTTAAAAAAAAAAAAAAACCAAACCCCATAAGCTTGATTGTCTCCATAACGTTGTCCTTTACTGCTCAGGACACAGGAGCACCTGATAAAATCCTCTCTGCAGCGCAAGACAAAATCAATTTTCCTTTGCTCTTTGTAGACTCAGAACGGACCTAAGTCAATTATGACTCTGGAAGTCATAGTTAAAATAACAATTTGATGTTACTAATTCTACTGTCTGGTAGAAAGAACAGCCCAGCAAAGGAAACTGATTTTTTATTTGATTCTATCACAGCTAATTCATGGAAAACTTAAAATTCACAGGCTCCTACAGCTCTCTCTGAAGTGTTCAAGCCTCCCTTAAGTACATTCTATAAGTGTTTCAATACAGGCAGGATGAAAGGTGACTGTCTGCTGGGCACCAGGACAGCCAAGTGTCTTTTTTTCAGGAGTTGATTTCCTTTTCTTTAAAAAAAAAAAATCTACCAGTACTATTCATCCCTTAGGACTAGCTTTTCTTCTTTTTTTTTTTTTTTTCTTGAATCAAGCTGCTATGGAGGGTCATTCATAGGATGGAGGAGTTAGACAAGCTGGCAGAGGCCAAGCACCCCTGAGTTTGCAGTCTGCAGGCTGTCAGCCTTGGTCGCAGGATTTTAAAAATTACGGGGAGAAAAAATAGTTTAAAAAGCAGTTTCATTGCAAATTGGTGTGACCGTGCTGGCTGAAGTGTGCTGGGGGAGAATTGTATGACAAAACATGCTTGCCATCAGTACTGAGTGAGATGAGAAGTACCACAACTTGACGTGGAGCATGTGATTAATCTGTTTATTTCATGTATTTGATCAGATTTGTGATCTGTGAATGTGGCAGAGGTCACAACGTGAACTTTGCAAAGCTCTAATTTCTTGGTGAAGACTTTACAAATGGAGTGAAACCTGCTTATGTCATTAACAGAAGGGTGATTTACTGAGCCGTGACCTTTTCCTTCAGAATTTGAGAGGGAATTTGAGGTAGAGCACTGTCCAGAGAAAATCCTGAGCCACACAGTCTGCAGCTCCTGGTCTACACATAAGCATGGGACTGCCCTTAAAAACAAGTCATACCCTATTCCAAGTTTTCTAGCTGAAACAGAAGAATTTTGTGTTATTTGAGCTGATTAAATAATGCTACCCTTCTAAAAGGTTCTTGTTCTGTCTCAGTCTCTCTTCTATTACATACAAATTAGCATATGATGTCAATAAAATACTATAAAAAAGGGGTTATTTTAAACTCCAGTTTTCTAAGCTCCAGTGGCAATCAATGTGGACTAAAATATAATTTTAGAGAGGTCTTTTCTTCTGAAACCTGCTCAGCTGTAACTAGGTGTTCATGAGGCCTTACAACCTCATTTAGTTGTCTTTGAACATTGCATTAATCTTAATAATTAAATAATATTCTGACACATGGACGTGCTAATAGGTACAGCTCCAGTGAACCTGCTCTCTTAAGTTAGGGAGAGCGTTACACTGTTTGTTAGACATCTGTTGGCATCAGATTATGGAAAAAAAGTGCTTGAACACCTCTGAGCACACAGTGGGAGCTATGAGTGTGCACTTCTGAGCTGAAGAGACAGGGCAGTTGTGTTTCATCTGACGAGAATTAAATTATAACTGAAATATTATGAAAAAATATCATCGCTTCTGTAAAAGGAACGAACTGCTGTATGAGGATGCATTTTAAAAAAGCCTCTTTGTCCCACGGCAAGGATGGGGACGGTGTTCTACAAACCACTCCTGACAGCAGCGTATTTTATGGACTGTCTTGACGTTTTTGTTCTCCTCCTCACGGGCCTGTAGTGACCCCTCCTGTTGCTGCAGCACCCTGTGGTGAGAGCAGCAGTGCAGCAGCAGAGGCAGAGGAGAGAGGAGCAGAGGACAACAGGAATCAACCACACTCCCAAAGCTGACGCTTCCCGAGCGGGTGCCTCATTTTCCACGGTCGAATTCCTGCCGCTGTAGCCTTTGGTTTCGTTCAGGTGTTGCTTGCTGCCGTTCAGGCGGGGAGGGGTGGGCATGTGGGATGCTCCATCATCAGCCCTGGGTGTCAGAGTTGGGTGCTCAGCCTTCTTGTCTGAGCCGGCGGTTTGCCTGGTGCTCGCTGAGGTTGTGCTCGTCCTCTGGTCACCTGCTGGAAAAGTTTCTGCCCTGGGATAATCAGTAACTTGGTTTTTTCGGGCCGTGGGGCTTGTGCTGGAGGTGTAAGCGCTTGCTGCTAAGCCATGGCTCGTGGTAGAGGCTGGAGCTTGGAGCAGAGGGGACCCTGACGTGGCATTGTGGTGTTGGCACCTTTCCCCCTCGGTGGTCTTTGTGCTGTTCTGCCTTTCATATCCGCTCAGTGGGGAGTGAATATTTGGCTTTTTGGAGGTCAGTTTTTCAAAAATGAGGAGATCTGGATCAATCCCTGCGAAATCACAGCAGTGTTAGTGTTGTGTGGCAAGAGCTTGTCTGCACACCCACAAAAGGAGTACCTGGAGCCCAGATAATACCCATCAGCACCTTTTGGACCGGAGGCTGTGGGACACCTCATGGGATGCATTTTGGGATTTCACAGGACTTATTATGGGATGCTTGGGGAAGGAAGCAAAAGTGAGGAAAGGGATCTAGGTTGCTGGCAGTAGGGAAATCCCAGAAAGCTGTGTGTGTGTTTGATAGTCTGCACCAGCAACTGGAGAGAAGCTGGGACTCAAACATCAGGTGACATTGTTTTCATTTTATATATGTGTGTATATATATATATATATATTCACTAATAGATCTCTATCCTGGGAGCCAGAATGAGGCTTTTGGTGTCATCTGTGGTTGTGGGTCTGCTTCCTGTGTTTGAAGGCTGTGCAACCTGTGTGCTCTTTGTGCATATGCCTAATGAGAATAAATTTTCAGCCTTGCTACTGTTTGGATCTGGGGACAGATCCGAAGTACCTGGTAGGGTACTTTGCCCAAATATTGGGCAAACAGTATTGATAAGTCACACAGAGCATGAAAAAAAACTCTTATGCATTTTTGCTTCAGAAGCATGTTACTTCAGAACATCTTCTAGCACAGCAGCTGGCCTGGTATAATTTTAACATTTTTTGTAGTTTGCCATGTTTTCAGCCTCTAGAAATAAAGTGCTTGATTACCTGCTGTGATGTTGTACAAAATGACATTCATTCCAGCCTTCAGGATGCAGCTTTCCAGTGCTGGGCAAGACACGTGCAGGCAATTCATGTTCCCGTGGATGGCTCCATGGTAGAACACTGCTAGATTGCAGGAAACTGCAACCCAGAAAGAGTAAAGTTGAGCTGCTCAGAAGAATGACTACTGCATTTTGCATGTTATTCTGTTATTGAACATCAGGAGATCATTAATAGTGGGCAGCTCTTGTTCTATGAGGAAAAGTTTGTTGTCCAAAAAGGAAGAATGTCACTGAAATATATTAAATTTTTGTTTCCTCACATTATTTAAGACAGATTTTGACTCTTCCCAGGAATGGTGATGGCAGTCAGGTCACTGCCAGATTGTCAAGGTCATATTTTTGCTCATGATTCAAAATTTCATCAAAATTTGTATTGACTTTTTTTTAGTAACTGGTTCCTCACTTTCATCCTGCATATCCAAAACCTTCTTCAAGTCTTGTGAGTTTTGAAAATTTAGGCACCACGAACATGCACTTCGTGTATTCTCCTAAAATATACTCCCACAGTGTACCAGTGCAGTGTGATACAAAATACAGTATTGGGCTTAAGATAAACACTGATTTTTCTTGTTTTTATTCTGAGTTTGCAAGGCCAGGGAAAAGGGGTTGCCAGCTAAATAACTGCTATCATTTATTGCTGTAACTTTATTGTTCATATTAATGTTATACTTGGTTTGCACCACAAACACGGTGTGAACACGGAATAAGAGAAATGCTTTCTCCAAGGAAATGAATATTCTTGTATTTCAAAAGAAAATTGTGTGTTCCCTCCCCTTTCTGATGCCATACTCCATGAAGAAGAGGGCTGTTGGAATCACTGTCACTGGTTGTTCTCTACAGGAGTAGATGGTGATGAATACTGAAGAGTCATTCCTTTAATGTTAGCATTGTCTACAAGCTTTGCAACAGAGACCTAAAATTTCAGAGCAGACCCTAAGATTTTCACGTGTTCCTAGTGCAGCCTTCTAAAAAAACTCAGATTACCAATTTCCTTTCTGTGGGACTGAAAATGGGAGAACAGTTACCAGGTGCCTCAAAAACAAAATACATAGATCCTCTCCCCCATTTCTTCTTCAAATAAAGTTTACACAAGCACTACCCAAAGCGTGTTCCTTGTGTGCTGTGATGTAAATTTTAACGTGTGCCGTGATCCTGGCAATAAACACTCACCATTCCTCAGAAGGCAGCAGGTTCTGCTGCACTGCTGGGGTGAGTCTTCTGCATAACCCTTCAGCACCTGGGCTCCCCTCCTCTGTGACTCCTGCAGGTCCAGCACGAGGCCCGGGAAGCGCCGGATCCAGCAGTCCTTGTAGAAGGCGGTGGGGGAGCAGAGCGAGTCGGACCCCAGGGCCAAACCCAGCACCAACAGCACTTCTGCCACCAGCAGGACCATTGCCTTGGTGTGCTGGGCTCAGTCACTGTGCGCTCTGCTCCGTGGGTGCACCAAAGGCTGAACCAGCACTGGAGGGGACAATCTCTGGAGTGCTGGGGATGCTGCCAATCCTGCCAGGGACGCGAGCCAGGGGATGGTTTTTTTCCAAACAATTCCCATGGTGCTGCTTGGACAGCTGCTGGAAGAAAGCAACCATTTTGTGAGCTCAAATTAAAATGGTTATTATTCTTGCCCTCTAACTTAATTCTTGCCCTCTAACTAATTTGGAGGCAGTTTTTGAGAGGCAAAAGGCACAGGTTGTCTTTGGTCGTTCAGAAAACTTGTTTCTTTGGACAAGAGTGTGTGTCTCTCATCCTGCCCCTAATAATTTTAAGAATATTCAGCAGTCCATACGGAGTTTTCTGCTGATGTTTAAGCTTGGAAAAGGCCTGTCAAAGAGAAAATGGAGTTGACATAAAAAGGGGGGGCGATTTTTCAAGCACCTGGTTTGAAACCTGAAATCCCCATGCCTTTTGTTTCTTAACAGGAGCCAGTCTGATCCCTGGTTCCCACCCCTGTAGGCCTTTCATACAGGAAGACCTTAAATTATTACAATATATGAACTGATTTGAAGTCACTGGGCTATACAGTGAGGTTGACAGAATTAGGCAGAAATAGGGCTGTCTGCAATAAAAATTGTGCTTTGGATATATAAAATAGTTTACACTGCCTTTCTATCCTTCAGGATTAGAATCAAGGAATTTCCTTAGTTCTACATATAGGTTAGTTGCATAGAATAGGGGAAACCTCAAAGTCTTTTTAATTCTGTAGTCATTATAGCTGATGTTTTGCAAAACAAGGCCCCCAGTTTGGAAATGAACTGAAATGTAAACAATTAAGTTCCTTTCAGAGCTCCTTGGAAGGTAATAAACCCCAGAGCAGGTTTGTTCATGTTGATCCAATAGCAAGGCCAAGGCATTATTTTATTAAATTAATATTCATAGAATGTAATATTAATTCATGCATTAAGAATACTAATAATATAAATTATTCATATAATATTAATATTATATTCATTATATTAGTATTCCTATAATATTCATATTCATATAATATTCATATTCATATAATTAGGAGGATTTCTGTTGTGGGGAACACAAGAATGAAATTATAAGAAAGGGTTAAGTGGGTAATTCTTTAAGCCTCTGTCCTGGAAACCAGCTCTTGGTACTTGTGTTGTTTTATTTAGTTCTGGTAGTTTGATGTGCTTTGTTTTCATTTTCACCTCTGTGAAAATCACAAATTAAACCTTAAATGCATTTTAAAAGACCTGTTAACTTGCATTCAGTGGACTGCACAGGGAAGTTTTCAGACATTTCTCTGCCATTGCTGCAAGCACTGTTGACAATGTATTTTGCTAAAATGTTTGTTTCAGCTTTCCTAGTAATCCAAGGCATCATCTGGCATGGGACAAACTCACAATTTTGAAAGATATGCCTGTGTTTTGGCAATACATTTAGCAGGAATTTTACATCTATTTTGTACTATGAGACACACATGCAAAATTCCTGATTGCTTTCCTTGCTCCTACACTTCCCATGTCTTCCAGAACAGAAATCCTGGAGACTTAGATTTCAAAACTTGGGGAAGCATTTAACAAGGAGATTAAACTGATACAGAGTAAGTATTTATATTGGGCAAAGCTGAATATGCCTGTATCTGCCACACCATCCAGTAAGTCTTTCTCTGGCACCGTGTTTTGAACCAATCCTATTGTGTACAGATCTGTGTGTTTTCAGTGTATATTTAAAAATACTTTTTTTCCTTTTTGCCACACTTTGCCAATAGACACATTGCTGCTCTTAGTAACTTCATATGTTCTGCTCTACACGTTAACTAAGCAGCCTTTTTTTCCTTTCCATTACCTGTTATTCTCCTTTCTCTGTTTCTGAATAAATTTTAAGAGTAAGAATAGCTGCAGGGAAACTTTCTGTTTAATGAAATATAAAGAGATTGAAATAAATAAGCAAATATATGGCTGCTTTAGGCAATTTCCTTTAGAAACCAAAAAGTTCCACCTATTAAGTTTTAGAATCTTCTGCCTTGCTTCCCTATAATTTTACTTTGACTTTTCTATGGAAAATACATATATAGAAATGAAGGCTGAAATTTTAATTCACAAACATTTTACAGGAAGGAAATATCCGAGTCTTACCTGCAAACCAAGGACCGACTGTTCCATGTGCTCTGCAAAGAGGGATCAAGGGACTTCTGCTGCAAAGAGTCTCTGGCTGGTATCAGACCAGCACTTTGTGCTTATTTAGTAATTCTTTTCATCCATCTGCTCGAATTTCTTCCTGGAAAACAAAAAGGCAGTTGCCATTTTCTGTGAGAATACGGATGGTTTTGCAGACCTTTCAGTAAAAGAGGTTTAGATGAACCTGCCACACAGGAAAAAAATAGTCTTTTTTAATGATTCTTCCTAGAAAAAGTACCTGAAGTTTCCCTCCTGGACTGGCAGTGAGAATGGCACAATCCAAGAGCTACCAAGCACAAAGAATCCATCATCAGGCATTAACCCTTTTTTTGCCAAACATAAACAAAATCATCCACTTTTTCCTTATAAAGTAGCAGATATATCTTGATATTGGGAACTATATTTAGTTTCTGTGGAATATGTGGTTCTATCACTTAGAATATGTGAAGACCAGAAAGGATCTGTGTAATCACAGAACCACAGAAGGATCTGGGTTGGAGGGGACCTTAAAGATCATGCAGTTCCAACCCCCTGCTGTGCTCAAGAGCACCTTCCACCAGCCCAGGCTGTTCAGAGCCCCATCCAACCTGGCCTTGGACACTTCCAGGGATGGAGCAGCCACGGCTTCTCTGGGCAACCTGTGCCAGGGACTCCCCACCCTCCCAGGGAAGGATATTTTTCCTAATATCCAATCTAACCCTGCTCTCTGTCAGTTTGAAGCCATTCCCCACGTCCTGTCACTCCAGGCATCTGTGAATGGCTTCTCTCCATCTTCCTCGTAGGCTCCCTGGAGGCACTGCAGGCCGCAACTAAGTCAACCTTATACAGGAAAGCATTCCTGAAAAAAAGACTAAAAATGCCAAAGCTTTGATCCCATTGTCAGCTCAGTGCACCAGCGTGTTGGCTTTTGTTTGTGGGTCATCTGTTGCCCAGGCTGTGTCTGTCCTGTGCTCTTCTGCCAACTGCTGAGAATCCCCTCTCAGCCCTAATGTGGGGAGGACAGTCCTCCTTTGAACATCAGGAAGCAAATTCAATCAAATGTGCAGCACAATCCCATGTGATGTCAGTGAAGCTCTCTGCCTGCGTTGTGCTCCATG